GGAGCCTCCCCGCCGTATCGGATTGGCCTAGACGCTTGTACCAGCCCTTAACCCCTTGTGTATCCGTAGTAAGCGGTGCGGGCGGCGCCGTGACTGCTGTCATTTTACTCCGTTGGCAGCGGAAGAGTTAACAAGTCCCGTATCAGCGTCCGCGCAAGGGACGCAATGGGAGAGAGATTCGAAAACCACGTGACATTTGTTGTGCTATCGCCACGGCCACTGAGTGGCCGACAAAGTGGTCGGTGATTGGAGAGGAGCTTTGTTTATCTAGAAGGTGATTGGCTGCAACGAGGGCGCGCCGTTCACAAGTGAGGTGTCAGAGCAGAAGATGGGACAGGCGTGTGTCGGAGCTGTATGGCACTGCTCAGAGCTGAGTGGGGCCCTCAGAGGTGAGCTGGGACCCCATGCACTCATCTATTGTATTTATAGAAAGGCTCATATTAACCAGTTGACATCCGCGGTGTTAAACCCCCTTCCCATCCAGGCCATTTTTCAGTATTCAGCGCTGCGGTACTTTGACTGACATTTATTCCGTCATGCAGCGCTGTACTGAAATGAATTTTATACCCTTTTTTGAGGACAGATAGAGCTTTCATTTGGTGGTATTTATTCACCACTGGGGATTTACTCCGTTGGCAGCGGAAGAGTTAACAAGTCCCGTATCAGCGTCCGCGCAAGGGACGCAATGGGAGAGAGATTCGAAAACCACGTGACATTTGTTGTGCTATCGCCACGGCCACTGAGTGGCCGACAAAGTGGTCGGTGATTGGAGAGGAGCTTTGTTTATCTAGAAGGTGATTGGCTGCAACGAGGGCGCGCCGTTCACAAGTGAGGTGTCAGAGCAGAAGATGGGACAGGCGTGTGTCGGAGCTGTATGGCACTGCTCAGAGCTGAGTGGGGCCCTCAGAGGTGAGCTGGGACCCCATGCACTCATCTATTGTATTTATAGAAAGGCTCATATTAATCCTCCTGCCGTACTGACAAACATATGGACTCCTTCTAAACATTTATATTCCCCTTCCTGTCATCCTGATCCTCTGGCTTCAATAGTATGACTGCTGATCTGCACTCTGCATACTGGTTCGAGACAATGACTAAGAAAGAAAGGTCATATGAGACACAAGGCCATCGCCATTGCTGACCTTTATTCAGCACACTGACCTGGAACAAGTATGCAGTCTAGGATCTGGTGTGTGGACTCCTTTAAATTCACAGACTCAGGTTGGAAGTTAAGGGATCAGCATGACAGCCAGGCAATCTGAATTTTTTTTTTAAAGGACAGGTTTACTTTAAATCCAGAGGGTTGTCTTGGCAGCCAGATAACTGGTACAGCATTCCTGGGGACGGGGCTTTCACCCCCTTTGCCACCGCCGCCTCCTGCAGCCCTTTAACTGGGAGGCGGAGTTCTGATCATGTGATTGGTTGTCAAAGTAATTGAGAGGTTTGTGTGGAACTCCGGACATTTGTTTTTCATTCTGGATAGAGCGGGGGAGGGTTACAGCCTCTGTTTCCCCTCACTTCCTGTTCTGGACTCATCCTTGATGAATTTTATAGCTCATTCGTCTGCCGGTGACGATTGAAATCCAGACTGTGTCATGTGATTAACATTCATGTTTTCATTTAGATATCCTCGTGAGATATGGACTGGACAGAGTTGGATGTTCATCCTCGTATCATCTCCGCTGTTCATAAGGGTAAGATATTTCACTGAGGTGCGGGCTGCTCGGATCATGATTATGGTTACAACATAAATCTATGGGGCTGATATATAAGTAATCCGTGGGGTCATTCACCCTGCGTGTATCTGAACATTCGTCTTGTGCAAATATATTTACAAACAAAGGTTCTTCCTTTACATGTGCAATTCAATTTGAATGTTCCGATTGTACTAGGGATGCACCGATGCCGGCCTTTTGGTATCGAGTACCGACATTTATATTTCGGTACTCGTCGATACCGGTACATCCGCTAGCATGGAGCCGGCTTCCCGGCCAATCGGGAAGCCGGGCAGTGTGTCATTACCCGCTGCCAAGCTTGTTGATTGCCCGGGAAGCTGGTGTTCTGTCGAGGTGGCCAACTCGTCGAGATCTCCAACTCGTGACATCACATCCGTTGTAGATTTTGACGAGATGGCGCTAGTGCATTCCCCGTTGACTTCTCCACTTGCCGAAGGTGCGCCTGTGCGACTTCGAAATTATAATCGAGTTCTCCAACTCCCGTCGGTACTTGTGGCATCGGGTGCCCGCGCAGGCTGTACAGCTTGATACTTCTCTTGGGTGGCTGACAGGAGTTGGAGGTCTCGGCGAGTTGGAGAATTCGATAGAACACCGGCTCCATGCTGATTGGCCCGGGAAGCCGGCATCCCAGCCAAGCAGCATGGAGCCAGCTCCCCGGCCAATCAGGGAGGTGGATCATTATCCACTGCCTGGCATCCTGATTGGCTGGAAAGCCGACTCCATGCTGTTTGGCCGCCTCCTTGCTGATTGGCCGGGAAGCTGGCTTCCCAGCAACAATAAGTGCACATAGGGCTCTCTTCTAAACTCTCACAGTAGGAGTGCTTTCAAAGGAAGGGCAGTTAAAGTACAATCACAATTTCCTCTCTCCCCTAATGTTAATCTATCCTTTTTATTTCTCAGCAAACATCAAGTCTGCCAAAGATCTTTTTACTTCCTCCATTGGGGATTTGCAGAAAGTGACTCAGCTCTCCATTCCTGACATCTATGACTTGCAGAAAGCAGCTTCTGCAGCTCTCCAGAAACATTCAGCACTTACAGGTAATGCCATCTGCATCTATTTCTGTAACTGGATTGTGGAAACAAAATAAAAATTTAAAGCTGAACTTGGGGATTCTCAAAAAAATCTGCCTACCTAACAAACATTTAACCCTTGTAGTATTTGAGGGTAAGGAGGGGACACTGCAAATGTTTGTTGGGTAGGGGGTAGAGTAATAAGGTGTAATACTCGACCTTTAGGCCTTGTTCACACCAAATGCAGAGCAGATCCGGTCAGGTTTCTGCACACGCAGTGCAGTGGGTTGTGCCGCGTTTTGGACGCGTTTCGGGCTGGATTTGGTAAAAAAAAAAATATATATATATTTTTTTTAAGTTTAACATGGGCTGTCAGGCACTTGCATGTGTTTTTGATGCGTTCCAGAGCAGGTAAAATAAGGCTTGCTGCAGTTTTTTCACCTGCTCTGGATCTGGTCTGGATCTGCACGCTGCGATGTGAACTGGAGGTCAAAATACCACAGGAATACATTGGACGCAGTTTTGATCCGGTCTGCACCTGCTCTGGATCTGCTCCGCGCTTGGTGTGAACAAGGCCTTAAAGAGAACTATGGCCAAACCATTTTTGGCCTTCTCTTTAGGGTCACAGGAGGACATTTACATTGACCCAAAACTCCGCTATATGCTGACAACTCAGAGCAGCGCTGCAGCCGGGAAAGATCCCGACAATATTGTTAGAATCCACCCCGCTGCCTGATTAACAGCTGGCTCTGCCTCTCTAGTGCCAGCTGTGCTCGCCCTCTCCCCTGTTTGTCCCTATAATGAGCACTGGAGAGGAATTCCTGCGGGGAGCAGTGATTGATAGTCACCGCCCTCTGCATGGAGAAGATCGGGAACTGAGCGTTTAGTGGTTTGTGATTACTCAGTTTTCGATTTGAAGAGTTGACTGCAAACTGTGTGCATTTTACTCTTTCCATAGCTCCCCTTTAATCCCCGCTTGGGCAAACTCTGGCACTCACTGCCTCTCTCTAAAGTTCCAGCCCCTTGCCGTCCTCGTGTACAATGCAGAACTAGTGGTCCCGCATCGTTCTTAATGACATCAACATGCGACCACCAGCTGGAGCATCTTAGAACGCTTCAGTGGACCAGTTGCACACATGCCTCTCAGAGTAAGGAATAAGGCAAGTATTACACCTTATTTCTTTACCCCTAGACTTAAAGAAGATCTCTGGGCAAATATAAAAAGCTTACCCTTGCAGTGGGACTACCCCCACACTGCAAGGGTTAAATGGTTGCTTTGGTCTAGGGGCTGCAATAAAGCAGGATTCCTTACCTGATCTTGGCCTCCTCCGAGCTGCTAGACCAGTCCCTGCAGCCTCTTCCCCCCCGAGCTATGGTAGTCTAAGGACCGCTGACATCATCTCGTCTTATGCAAATTCCATTGACCTAGATTAGATATGAGAATGCAGAGGGGCATACAATACCCAGATCGGAGGGGGAGAGAGGTGAGTGCTGACTGCAGCATGACTGAGGATCAGGTAATACAGATTTATTTGAGCCCCCTAGATAAAACCGTGTCCACTTACATCCGGCTTCCCAAAGACCTAACATGAGTAACATCCATTCTGAATTTTTAAAAAAGAAGTTTTCCCCAAAAAGGGGATCCCACCATTCTTTACACAATCTATGTGACAACTAAGGGATGAAAAAGTATAAATGTATTTATTCGGTAGAAGATAAGAGTTGACGGTAGTTTCACCTCGCCTTAGCCAATCTCCATCCGTGTGTACGTATACCGGAGAGTCTGGTTGGTGAAGTTCAACTGTTGTTTGTTGTCCATGAATTCCCCATGGGAGAGTTGACAAACTCTAAGCCGGTTCCGGAGGGTCTTATTGTAAAGTAATCAAAGGCTTTAGAAATGCATTTTTTCATTAACCCACTCATTCACTTACCAGTCCATAGGCGGTATGCAGTCATCAATTTATGTATATATATTTATCTGTCTGTTTTGTATACACATTTATCTGTTTGTCTGATTAATATACTTTTTGATATTCTTTGTACGTAGAGTCTAAATATATAGATTTTATCTCCTACCGAATAAATACATTTATACTTTTTCATCACTTAGTTGTCACGTAGATTGTGTAAAGAATGGTGGGATCCCCTTTTTGGGGAAAACTTCTTCTTTTTTTAAATTTCTAATAGTTAGGGGACCCCCATTCACATTGATTATATTGGAGATATTGTGCATATACCTTCCCTTCCCCGTTTTATTGTTTAACATCCATTCTGCACTGCTCCGACCAGCAGGGGATCTGTACGTGGATCCCCTGGTGATCGGAATGGACAGCGCCCAAGTGAAAGGGGTCTTAGATGTACTTTACCACCATAATATACAGAAATGTATCCAAGTGTGTTTTGTAAACTTTGTTAGCACTGGTTAACTAATAAAAATAAAGAAGATCTGATAGTAAATCTATCTTCATTATTTACAACATTGTTAGGGGAATTTAAACAAATTGGAGCAGCCGTGCATGGCAACCAATCAGCTTCTTTCTTTCATTTTGAAATCTTAACTGAAGAAGCTGATGAGAGAAGCTGATTGGTTGTCATGCACAGCTGCTCCAGATTTTGTCTGCTCCGGGTTTGATAAATTCCCCTCTGTATCTATTAGTACGACCAGTGACACAAGCTGACAACATTTACAATACACTTGGATACATTGATATACAGTTTATTATGATGGTAATGTACGTCTTACTGTGAGAAGAATTAGTGGTGTCAGCACAACTAACAATCATTCATTTTAGTATCAATTCAGTGTATAGAAGAGAACAAGCGCCGGCTGTTTTATTGTATTTTGGTCTTTATTTGGATTCTTAAAGGATTCATCTATATCAGTACAGCTGCTGCTATTTCATGTTTCTCCTTCCACAAGTTTGCTCTGGACTATACTCCCTTTTCATAATCTGCTGGCTTCTAAACTACTAGTGTATATCACCATTCTACAATACCTCCCCCCTAACCTGTTAATAGAGCCAGTTTACCTGCATATGTTTGACTTTGACATGGGGACATGAGCGTTTCTAATTATTTTGTTGGATTTCAGCATTGCAGCTTTACAAAGAAAAGACCCGATTCCCATCTCAGCACCAGAAGCTGGGCCTGGGGTGTGGAGTTCTAAATAACCTGCTGAGAGGAGGACTCCCCCTGGTGGGCATTACAGAGCTGGCGGGAGAGAGCTCCGCGGGAAAGACTCAGATCGCCCTGCAACTTTGCCTTTCCGTTCAGTACCCAGAGACCAAAGGTGGGCTCGGAACAGGGAGAAGTCATGAACTAAACGATCTGAGGTTTGTGATTTGGATATTTTACTCTCCCAATACTTTTTTTCCTTTAACAAAAATCCAGAGGAGCAAGCATGGTAAATTTTTCAGTGTTCACTAGAAAGTGACTTTTACAATCTGAATTTAAGAGCAGGCATAATGTAATTTCAGAACAGTTGATGCTCTTTTTAATGTAGGGGCTGTGTACATCTGCACAGAAGACGCCTTTCCAGATAAGCGCCTCCAGCAGATGATAAAATCTCAGCATAGACTGAGAACGGATGTCCCGGCAGACGTCGTGCGCAAAATCCGCTTTGGAGATCATGTTTTCATCGAGCATGCAGCTGATATAGTAAGTTACAGTGACACTGGGAGGGTAGGAAGCCTGCATATAGGTCACGCTTGGGCAACCTCCCACTTTCCATTAAGTTTGAGCATTTTCAGGTCCCAGTATACCAGTGCAGGGAACTGGGACTTGTAGTTCAACAGCAAGAAGCTGAGAGGTTTATCATGCTTGGTGTATATTTCTCTAAATTATAGAAAGACTACACTGCCCCTTTATTACAATCCCTTTATTGTCCTTATTGGACCATCAGATTATAAATAGCAGATTAACGTTAACCTGTCATAAAACCAATGGTAGCTTCTCAAGCACCCAGTCCTGCATCTATGGAGGAGCAGCATTGTTGGCCTGGGACAGGATTACAGGACACTTTCCCCCTCCTCTTTGCCATAACATAGGGGTGAAGTGTTCTGTAGTCCTCAGAGATAATTGGAAATAATATAACTGATAACAATGCAGCACAGGAACTTATCAGCTGACATGGAAGTTATGGAACAGATATAACAAAACACTTTCAATGATATATTTAACAGAACCCAAGGGACTTATTAAGAGGGTTCACATACCCTTCAATTTATGATGCAAATGTAACTACTTTAAGGTAACTACAAGTTTGCTTTAAAGGCACCTACAGGATATTATTTGTGCACATACGTATGGCATAGATAATAATCAGTTAGACTTTTAAAAAGTGTAGTGTTTACATATTTAATTCCAAGCAGGATGTCCAGCACGGAGGGCTTCACATTGAATTTATTGAACAAAATAGCCATGTTATTCACATAAAACAGGAATGCAGCATCAAAACTAGAATTGCAGCATAGCAATGTTTAGAGCCATATCAGGCTCATTTTCATACCAAAGATACATACTGTACCTGGTTGATAGCCTTTGTACTGACTTGTGCGCTGTAACATTATAGAGAATCCATTCTTTACATATTTTAGTAAGTTTTGATTATGTCTTGCTTCTTAAAGCATGCAAAAGCCACTACCGAGAACAGTCCTACAGGTATGCAAGTGGCCACATTCTCCAACCTTGTTTTTAATGAGTAGGTGGAGCTGTATTGCTGCACTATAAACTCTTTCTAAACTCCGTGGCTGCTTTGTACATCCCCCTTATCAGTTCCCAGGTACCTGTACTCATATTCAAAGACAGCTGACATTGTGAATGTGTCATCTTGCAGGACATGTTCACCGAGTGCATCACCAAGAAGCTTCCCATCCTCCTCCTGCGAGGTCAGGTCCGCCTGATCGTCATAGACTCTATCGCTGCTTTGTTTCGCTGTGAATTTGCTGCAAAGGATGCCGTCATCAAAGCTAAACATCTTCAGACGATTGGGGCCAAACTCCATCAGTTAAGCCGAGACTTCACAACTCCTGTATTCTGCATTAATCAGGTATTCTGTATATAATTTTTTTGAGTATAAACCATGAATCCAGGCAAAGTTATTATTTTTTTTTTTTTTACGCTGTGAATGCTTTCACTTTATTGTTGTCATGATTGTTCTACAAGTACCTGTGCTGTTAACATTGACAGTCTTATTCTGTTATGGGTGGATGTACGTACCAGAGATAGAGTTAATATATTGGAGCACCACATTCCAGAAAGACTGGATGAGGGGACATATCCATATTAGGTGAATGTTGGGGTTGGCAGGCTTGTCACTCGTGTGTTCCAGAAGGGCTCTCCTTGCCCTCTGCGGGCGTTCCACATATTTGTCCATGGCGAGTGGGTGTTCCGGGCTCGAGGGGCCGAAATTGCGTGCTCGGTGCGGCGAGGGAGTCAGGTATTGGAGCTGTGACGGGACGAGGGACGGAGAGGTGCCGTTACAGCATCGGGCGCCGGAACCGGAAGTCGGTGGCAAAGTTATTTTAATGAAAGTGCACAAGAGTTTGATCATTTGTCGCGCTTAGTTTGAAATATGTGACCCCAAAGGAAATTTCCAACCACATTCCTATGTTGACCAGCAGAGCTAAAGGTCATCTGGTTTATCTCACTGGAGTGCATGTACATACTTTCCATTAAGAGTTAACTGTTGATACCAGTATTATGGCCAGGGCCTCATAGTAGGTATACCCAACAGCAGGGCCCTGCTGGTCACTATAAAACAGAAAGTAAAGGGAAATTTCCCCAGACCTTAGACAGAGCCTCTCTCTCCAAAATAAGATGTTTAAACTTAAGTCCTGCTTTAAAGAATGTATGTACTCGCTCTGTGAAATGGTTATTTCTAATGCAATATAAGAGAATGAAGGAAGACACAAGCTCATTGTAGTTTATTGTATCTCTTCTGTGTTCACTTGCAGGTTACAGATGCTATGAAAGAAGGAGACTCTGTGCTGAACCATATTGGGTAAGATCCTCACTGTTGGTATAGACTTGTATGGCCACTTTGCCCTCTAGGCATGTAGAAATATTGTTGTCATGGGACTGAAGATGTGTTAATAAAACTAGTTTCCAGTCTCTCATAATAATACTTCTGGTGCTCTGCTTAGGTTTTAGCAATGCTGTAATGGTCTGGTCTGGTCTGGGGTAATGTGTACAGGTCCAATTAAGGACCACGGGTATGAAGCTTAGAAATGGGTGGTGGGAACTAAAATTGAAAATCCTGTTTGCTTATAAACTGTACACAGGGATAATATAACATTTTATATAGTGCCTCTACCTGTGATTTAGTGTGTACGCTGCTGTCCAGGAACCATTGCCACTAAGCTAAAGGGAAACTGCCCATCAGTTTAAACTAATCCTCTATACTAGTGGTTCTCAACCTGTGTAACCTCAGGACCCACATTTATCATTGGTCATTAAGTCGCGACCCAAGTTGCACTGCAATGGAACGCACAGCATTAGGGTACCGTGCGTTCTGATGCGGATGTACAAACTGTGGGTGGGAGGTGCATTTGGGCTACCATTAAAGTGAATGGCAATGCAAAAGCCTGGATCCTCAGCCTGGGGTCCAGTGTGGGAGCTGGGACGGAGAGCTCCATCCATATGCATTGCTTGTACAGCTCCCTTGCGCGCCCTGTAAAGGTGTCGGGAACCAGAATGTGATGTTACTCCGGTCCAGGCAACTCTACAGGACATTTGAGGAAGCTATAAGCAATCCCTCGCAGCCATACCCCTAGCCCACCCCACCTCAAGCTGACACTTGGCACCGGGCAGCATATTTTAAATGGCTGCTTGGCTCGAGAACTGACAGTGCTGCGCTACTGGGAGGCTGAGGAAGCTCTCACCTAGAAAAGTAGAAGGCATGCGGCAACCCACCAGTTGAGAACCAAGGCTCTATACAGTATAATCCATTGCATACATATCTTTCATTGCATTGTAGCTTCTTGTCACAGCTCCAGGCTTGTATGACCTTCATCTCATTCTACAGTGTGTACAGATGGTGCTTAAACAAAGGAACACAGGACTGTACATGCACAAGTTCAGCTTTAGCACCATTGAGGATAGTAGGCTGTGTTTCCTTTAATCTGTGGGTAGGCAACCTTGGCACTCCAGCTGTGGTGAAACTATGAACACCATATAATGTCTCAGGTAGTCATGCCTGTGGCTGACGGTCTTGCAATGCCTCATGGGATTTTTAGATTCCACAGCAGTTGCAGTGCCTAGGTTGCCTACCCCTGACTTAGTGATGTTTCATGGTGGAGTGTTTAATCTCCATTTTAAGTAGGGATGCACCGATACGTTTTTTTAGGTATCGTGTACCAATATTTTTTATTAGGTACTCACCGATCCCGAATATTGGTACTGGCATCCCTAGGTACTGTGGGCTCGGCGAATCAGGAAGCCAGTGTTCTTTCGAAAGAACAACAGCTTCACATTCCTTTGCAACAGTGTGAGGCAGCCTAGCTTCTTGACCAGGAAGCCACGCAGCGCGTCATGGCGTGCCGCCAGCTTCCTGTTTGGTCAAGAAGCTAATCAGGAAGCTGGTGGCACCTCATGACCTGCCGTGTGGCTTCCTGCCTTGTCAAGAAGCTTGACTAGGCAACCTATCAAGAAGCTGGGAGGCGGGTCATGACCTGCCACCTGGCTTCCTGATTTCCCAGGAAGCTGGCTCTATGCTCCCTCGCGGCACTGCCAATCAGAAGAAATCTCCCTCTGAGCGGAAGTTCCGGTAACGGAGCATTTGGTCAAGTACGAGTACTTGCCCAAATATTCGGTATCAGCTTCAGTGCATCCCTAATTTTAAGTCATTCCAATCCTGGGTGATTTATTGTCCCGCATTATAATCTTTTGCCTGTGTGTATTTTGTTTAGTTTTCAGGATAGAAAGGTGCTACCAGCCTTGGGGATTTCTTGGTCAAACCAGCTGCTGATGAGACTCATGGTGGCGCGGACACAGCGTGAGGCTCCTCCTCCATTCATAGACTGTGTTCTACGGACAATGGAAGTCATCTTTGCGCCACATATTCCACAAGCCACCTGCTACTACACAGTGGACTTAGAAGGTGTGAAAGGAATTGGGATACAGGGCTTATAATACTGTCCAGCACCTGCAGTGCACTCGGGCAAGGGAGCTGGATGTGGGATGGAGCAGTGAGGTTTCTCTGTACAGGGATTGTAAGTTATTGAAATCAAAGATGGCAAACCAACAGAACTAGACATGACAGGGGATGCTGGGAGATGCAGGCCCTCAACTGTTGAACAAAAAAAAAAATCACTGGTTCTTTTGGTGAACTGGATTCTATACAATGAATAATGCACCAACGTGTTTTATAAGCTTCTCAGGAATGGTTGTTGAAGACTTTCAGGTATTAAGATTGTGGCCAGCTTTAACCAACAGCAGCCCCTTTTTATTCTAAAGAAAGCAACATTACTTCAACTTGGGCAGCACTGTGGCATAGTGGCAAGTACCTCTTGCAGCACTGAGGGTCCCCAGTTCAAATCCTGGTCAGGACAATGCGCTTGTGTTGGCTTCCTCCGGGTACTCCGGTTTCCTTCCACACGCCACAGACATGCTGGAAGGTAAATTGGCTCCTGTCTAAATCGGCCCTGTGTGTGATAGGGACCTTAGATTGTAAGCTCCTTGAGGGCAGGGACTGATGTAAATGTGGAACTATGTAAAGCGTTTTGTAAATTTATCAGCACTATAAAAATACCTGTAATAAATAAACAACCCCTATATCCAAATTCTTCCAACACCCGAAAGTTTTCTTTACATGTTTCCTGTCAATGTTGAATATTTGAGTGCTGTGTCCGAATAACATTTCCTTACATTCGACCAATGCAGGAAGTTGTGGGGTTACTGCATTTTATGTGTTGCTTTTATGTAACAGACCAGATTGAGTTGCTATTTCTATATACAAAGAAGGCACTTTGAACAATGAGGTAAATAATGTTTCCCCCGCCCGCCATATTCTTTAATAAAACTCGTCACAACATCCTCTTGACTATACATTATTAAAGGGTAAGTCCACCTAAGTGCTCTTTCCATTTCTCATAGATGTGAGGTGCTGAGGCTTATTTAAAGTGGAATTCAAGCTAAAAACATTTTGTTTTAGAAAAGGACAATATCCTGGGTGGTGGGTTAAACCTGACAGAGGTTCTAAGCCTTCCCTACTCACTTTTATGCTGGAGTTTCAATTTAATAACCGTGTAAAGCAGAGGTAGGTAACCTCAGCCCACCAGTTGTGGTGAAACTAAAAACCCCATCATGCCTCTGGGACTTGCAGTTCCACAGCAGCTGGAGTGCTGAGGTTGCCTAACCCTGATGTAAAGCATCATGTAAAACAGAACCCAATAAGATTTCAAAAACCACACATTAACCCCCTACCCACAACCTGTTGACTTTCCCCTGAACAATGCAACGTGCTGGAGATATGTTAAACAAATGCACCCCCCTCTGTGATAGCCAGTAGCCAACAATTTGCGCAGTGCTGGCTCTCAAACCTCTCAAATTGTGTCGCTGTCTGTGCCCCCACTGTAGACAGTCACCCCCCGTGTTTCTCCTGGTAAATACTGCCACCAAGACTGGAAATTGAGTGGAAATCTTCGAGCGGTTTACCAAGATAAAAAGGTCCAGTGACACCTGTAATAGGGGAATTCACTTTGGGGAGAATTTTCTTGTCATTTTCTGTTGCATCCCCAGGACAGGAAGTGAAGAGAATTCTCCCAAACGGGACATGGGCAGCCTGACAGGCGTTTTAACCATTCCTAACTCTATCCAAAAACTTAAAAGTTTAGGCTACAGGTATACTCAAGTTTTGAAATGACGTCACGTTATAGTTTAGGTGAGATTTTAGCGAATTGGTTTACACCTACTTTTAGCTATGATGGAGACAATGGTGTCACCCTCCTAGTTGTACCATTTTGCAGGAATCTATGAATGAAGTGGCTGTATAGAACTACACATCCTTTATCAGAAAAGACAGCCCATGTTTAGCCATTTACTTTGAGTTCTGCTTTAAGAAGCTCCGGGTAATACAACCAAGCAATACCTACCCAAAACTTTCTGACTCTACAAAACTATTCTTTTTCATAAAAGGTAAGACTTAAAAAGAATACCAGTATGAGCCAATCTAGTGATCTTTTATTAGATATTAATGTATTTGGAAGGGATCGTCATGAAAGAGCATAGATGACAAAATGATACACGCTTCACATTAAAATACAAATGACACATTCATAAATATAGTACCCCAGGTACTACACGGAGCAGAGAAACACCTATTTACAACCAGTTTTTAGTCCTACTGAAATTATTTCCTGCTTCTGTAACAGTCGGGTCCAGATTCCAGCCAAACGCAGGCAGAAAGAGTGGTCATGTGATCATCCTGCAGAAGGAAATGGACTCGCTTCCTCTATTATTTGTTGTATATACAAAAGGTTGGAATTATGATACTGAAGCACAAACAAGCAGCCGACATTATGGTAATCAGATTCTGACCATCCAATTCCACTGTAAGTCTTATTTACTACAGCAATTTTCTTTAAATGCAGTAACCTGTATTGCACCGTCTCATTTTCTAAGCCTGCATATGTCCAATATCAGTCCCTTCAATTTACTATTTGACCAAGTAGTTCATGTACATCTAGGAGGACCAGAAAAAATGGACAACACACTAACCCCTCACCCTGCGCTTAGCTACCATAATCACCATCGCCCATGCCAGCCAGTGTATGGGTCCAGGCACTTAAATACTTCATCACACAGCCCTGGAGGCAATGTAGTAACATATTGCTTGCAATGGCAAGCAGCCATTGGTCAGAATGGTCATATGACCGTGCTGATTAGCGAGAACCTATTCTAGACCTTCATTCTTCCAAGAATGTGTCCTGGAAGAAACCCATTGGTTAGTGCAGTCACATGGCAATGCTGACCAACGACTGCTCCCCATTGCAACCATTAGGTTGGTTGAAATAAGGTTTTAAAATGCCTGGACCAATTCACAGGTTAGCATGGATCTGGGGTTGGGGGGTGCTGAACTTAACCTTTAACAAGGCAGTGCAAAGATCAACTGTGCAATACAATCATCCTTCACCCAATCAAAGTCAACTAGCCTTCACCTTTTCAGTTTTAAGCAGAACAAAGGAAAATGGCGATTGGTCACTATGAGATCGTGTACCTTGTCTTAATAAATAACAGCCAAAGGGTAACGGTCACCAAGTTAGACACCGTATTAATGTTTTGAGTTTTAGCACAATCAAAAAGGTCAAAAATGATTTTGGGCTAGGGTACACGGGCGCTTTTAATCTCACTTGTGTTAGCAATAAATAAAAAAAAAAAGCTTTATAAACTCAAAACATAAAAATTTTAAAATGACATGGCCCCAAAGATTGCACCCCACATTAGATATCGCCGCACATGCTGGAGTATGAGTAATAATTCTAGGGCCATCATTCACTGTTCACTCTACCTTGATGAGCTATAATGGATTTTGGCTTTCAAAGGTTAGCCCATGGACAATTCTGGGTACCACAATTTGTTGCTGTTTCACAGGCATGCGAAAGATACCCAAGGTAGATGTCCTGGAAGATGATTAGGGAATAGGATTACGGGAAAACTACATTTACACCTGCCAATAATGGTATTTTCAAGAGTCCGGGTAGAATCTATGTTCTCACCCATGGTTCCTTCTAATTGGTTTTGCTGGATTGAGTTGGCTTATCTTGGTTTTCCCTTATACACATTGGTGACTGTTTTACTTTTATGACACTTAGTACAAGTGGGGGTGGGAGGGGCTTTTAACCATTTTTTGGTTTGTGTTACCTGTTGAAAGCAGAGCCAATCGTCTCTTAGGTCATTGTCTTGAAACACTCTTGGAAATACCTTTACCGGTAAGTAGAATTTCTTTTTTTTTTAATAACTCTGACAAATCACTGGCCCCTCCCTTTCAGATTGTAAACCCTCATGGGCAGGGCCCTCCTTACCATCTTGTCTTGTATTGTAACGGTAATGTCGTCCTTATATTGTAAATTGCTGCACTCACTGTTGGCGCTATATAAATCCTGTATACCGTAATAATATTCAGCTGTAGTGATCAGAGCTGATGCAACTAGCAACCCGTAACCAGTAACTGTCCTCTAAGGCTGATGAAGATACATGTCACGGTTTATGGCAAACGCCAAGTTTTAAGACTCATTCAAATATTTGCTTTTAAAAATGCGTGCATAATAAAACAGGTTTCTAAGCTATGTTTATGAATCTTGACACGAGGTATTTATTGACTGCAGTGAACTGCACATGAACCTCACTGTTTAGAAACAGATTCCTATTTTTATTTGTAAAGCTTGTTGTATGTAACCACATACAGTATATGTGACCTGCAATAGAATTGTATACATTCATCTGATGCACTGTTCTACTAAAGAACCCTATGTGAAGGAGAGGTTTAAGGTACGTGCACACTTATGCGCTTAAGCCTGGTAAAGGATTCAAAAGCAAGCAAATTTTTAATTGCGGTTTAGTAACATTGAGTATTTTCCAGGGCACAATTTTAAGCTAAACTCCAGGGAGATATATATAATACATACATACATACATACATACACACACATATATACACACACATCATTGATGTAATGATGTAGAGATATCAAATATATCTCTACATCATTTGGCCCATTCATATTTAAAAAAAAACAAAAAAAAAACGTAAGTGTATTTTTAGACAGAACTAACATAGGTAACAGAATCTGTCCCAAAACCAGCCTCTTCGTGCTAGTTCACACCAAGCGCGGAGCAGATGCAGAGCAGTTACAAAACGGATCAAAACTGCGTCCAATGTATTCCAATGGTATTTTGGGGTCTAGTTCACATCACCAGAGCATGTAAAAAAAAAAAAAACTGCAGCAAGCCCTATTTTTCGTGCTCTGGAACGCATGCAAACACCCTGGAATGCACTAAAAGCCCATTTTAGGCAATAAAATAAATAATTTCTTACAAAAACGGCCCAGACCACATCACAACGCGTCAAAAACACACTGCATGTGCAGAAACTCATGCAGATCTGGTCTGCATTTGGTGTGAACAAGCCCTTATAGTATTTT